GCTAAGTGGCACGGAGATACACAAACAACCATGAGATATCACTGCAATCCACAGGCACTTTTCCCTGAAACTCTTCTTCATCAACTCCTCTTCACGCATGTTAATTTTCCGAAGCAGCCCAGGAATAATTTGACGAGATCTGTCACACATCGGGGGGTCAATCCACACAAAGTAGTTACAGCCTCGAATTTTCTGAAAAAAAAAAATTCAACATAATAATTAGTAGTTAATTATCTATAATTATAAACAACATAACAAGATCAAAACAACCATACCTTGTAGTTATCACATGTCGAAAATCTCCTTCCTGGATTTAAATCAGTCCAGGAAGTTCTTGTGACTACCCTTCTCGAACAATAACACGTTGCTTCCATTCTCTCACAGATTGCTTTCGTTTGTGAGAGACGACAGGAAAAAAAAAAAAGACAATAATTTCTAAGTGATTTTCGTCTGTGAGAGAAGACAAAAAAACGGATGGGAAGAGGGCTATAAGATTTGGAGCACAGCAGGTATAAAGAAGAAGGAGAAGCTCTTAATTTTGGAGGGAAAATTGGACAAACGGGAGAGGAAAAGGGGGGAAATACAGCCCTAGGTTAGTTTTTAAGTGATGAGACGGTTTTACCCTTAGAAAAATCACGTGAAATGCACATGTGTGGGATTCCGGCAAAAATGCCCGGAATATTCCCTTTTTAAGGCACCGTGCAACGAAAACCGAAGTTTAGGTAAAAACGTGCAAAAATTTTTTGTTTGGGGGGTAAAGTGCAAAACGGGCTATAGTTTAGGGGGTAAACTGCTTTTTACTCTATATATAATAAGGCTCCGAACACCGAAAACAAATTAAATTTCATCTTTCATGTGACCTGGTAAAGTAACTGCAAGAAAGAAAAAAAACACATTCAGCTCGGTATTTTGTCGAAACAAAACGAACTGGCACGAGAAATAATTATTTAATATATATATATATATATATACCACTTAAATCTTGGCTATTATTAGGAGGAGAACTCGAATTGAAGCCATTACGAAATACATTGTGAAATTCGTCTTCCCACGCAGTACTCGGTGCCTGCATATGCTAATTATATATATTACTTCGAGATTAAATATACAAAAGTAAAGTACGAATAAATAAAAAAAAACATTGACGAATATTTACTTGAGAACTAGGTTGTCTGAATCCGCCACCGACATTTACAGTTGGTTGAAATGGAGGGAAGAGCATCGTCATATCATTTGGAAAAGGTATCGAAGATGAAAGCCCGGTTCTAGGTTGTAATATCTGTTGTCGATATTTATAATTTACTTTAAATAGATAATCATATATATAAATCGGTACGTGGTCGATTCAAACGCGACGAATAAGGGCATATATAATCGTGTATATATATATGTATACACTTACATCTTTAGCGATTAATCCTTCAATATTGAAATCCATCCGTGGATTCACCGTTGCAAGCTTCATCGATAGGAACTGAATGAAAGGAAAAATACAGTTTACAAATTTAAAGTAATTACAAAAAAAATAAAACAATAAATAACAATTAGTTGCACATAAAGAGTTGAAAAATATCGGACGAAATCGGCTATACCTCGACCTGCCGTTGTAGTGACTGCACGTAATTAATTATTTCGTCGAGCATAACTGCTTTTCCAGTAACCTGCTAAGAGAGAAAAATCAATGATTTACGACAAGAAATTAAAATTAAAATTAAAATTAAAAATTAATGATTATCTGCATTAAATTAAACTAAAGACTAATAATTACCTTGCTGCAACCAGGGACAAGATCTTGAAGTAATTTCATCCTTTCACTAATCTTCTCCCTCCTTATCTAAATGATATATAAAAACGAATAATCGAAATTAAAGATCCAATTAAATACATTTTTAGAAAATTCTAATAAACTTAAAAAAATAAAAAAAGATTATTACCCTTTCAGCAAGACTGTGACTATTTGTAGCCTGCCCTCTTCGTGCTCGAACATGTATGTAATCTTCCTTGGGGGGGTCAGATCCTTGGGGCTCCAAATTACCATTTTTGCCCCTGGGGTTTCGTCTAATTTCAGTTGTTTCAACACATGTTTGTTGTGCTTCATTATTTTCATTTTTCTGACACATGGAAAAAAATTGCAATTTGAAAAAATCAATAACAATAATAAATTTGAAGGGTTTTTTCTTAACCAAGAATAATAACAATAATAATTAAAAAAAAAAAAAAAAAGATTCAACCTTTTCGATTCTCTTCCTCTTCTTCCAGCCGTTTCCATTCGACACTTCTCGCTCGCCACTTCTGCTAAATTCAGCGCCATCGGATTGATTACCCCCTAAATCAACTCCGTTTTTCTCGTCTTTCAAAGGGTTCGATCCATTACCCAAGAAAACCTCGTTCGGGCCTACCACGGGCCCCACAGCCCGGTTTCGAGGATTCAAAGGATCAAGAATGGTCAAAGGGTTGACCATTTCACTAAAACTCCCACCATTACTGAAGCAAGAAAATCGAGCAGCCCTCTCGATAAAAGCCGGATCGGTTGGGAAGTGAGTTAAGCTGTGAGGAAGCGCGTTTAGCAACGCACCGTTTCGAACACTCGTGTCACAATAGCCTAAACTCTGCTGCTCCCAAACGGAGGGGCAGAAAGAATCCACCATAGGGGCCGAAGAAGAACAAGACGATGACTTCACCATTCGATTGGCTGATGTAATCATTTCAATGGATGCGTTTGTTACATTATTCGATAACGTAGCTACACGATAATCTACGGCGTCTTCGCTTGGTTTCGGTGGGCCCACATTAGTATCATTTCCAGACATATCCATATTTTTTCTTCACAAGAATGCTAACTTAACTTTAAAAATTTCTTCCCAAAATCAAAAATCCACTGAGAACAAGATTTAAAAAAAAAACATAATTAATTAATTATCCGTCAAATTAATATGAACCAAAAATTATATATATATATATATATATATATATATATATATATATATATATATATATATATATATATATTTTTTTTCTCCTCACTGAATTGAAAGCTGCCATTAATGCACAGAAAAAAACAGGGCAACGGTGCAATAAAAGAAGTGAAGAAAGTGTACTGAAAAAAGCAATTAAATACAGCATCATGAATTAAATATAATTACTGAGTCAATCATTCATCAGGAAACCCTAGCTATGGTGAAATTGGGGGAAAAGGAAAAGCATTCAATTGGAAGAAAGTACTGTGAAGAAACCTGCTATAATTGGGTAAAGTGAATAAAATAAAAATAAAAATAAAATAAAATGTACCATTTTCAGAATGGGTGCTGCTTCTCGGAACCTCTGCACTTATTACTGTGACGAAAGCCCTTCAAGAAATAAATAAAAATGGTTCCTTTTTTTTTTGTTGTTGAAATATTTGCATACGAGTCCCTTATTTATGTCACATTTGAGGCAGTTGTGTAATGCAGAATGACACTGAGCAATCAAGAAAACATTAAATATGGAGAGAGAGAGAGAGAGAGAGAGAGAGAGAGAGAGAGAGAGAGAGATGTGGAGAGAGAAAAGGCAAAGCTTATTAAGGAGAGATGATGAATTTATAGCCACGCCTGGCATAAAAAACAGAGCTCTAGATGATTAACCATGACCACCGTCACTGATTTAATTGTGCAAGAACTATGAACAATTAATTACAGTGTTGATGATACAGAGTAAAATGGGAAAATTACAATTTTGATCCTTTAAATTTGCATTAATTTCACATTTGACCTTCTCATGTTTCAATAATTTAACATTTTGGTCATTTCTGTTAATTACTGTTAGTTCAGGCAGTGACGGACACGCGCATTTTTTAAAATTTCATGCACATAGTCCATGTACTACAAATATTCTTAAAATTGCATAAAAAATAGTTTTTTTGTATGAATTTTTATTTTATAATCATTTGTAAATTAAAATAATTCAAATCAACCAAAAACCCAAATATTTGTTAAATATTTTTGAATTCATTCTTTTAATATAAGTTTGAAAACCACTACAATGGGCGAATGTGAGTTCGAATTTTTATTAACCGCCAAATGTTTCTGTCAGTTAATGTTAATTGTATAAAATAAATCCGAATAAATATGTCAAATAATAAATATTAAAATTTCTTATTCGACCGGGTTTTATTTGGGTTGAGCTATAGTAAACTCAAACTCGGCTTATAAATTTTTCGGTTTTCATAAAATGACTCAAACTCGGTCCGACTCATATTGTAGTTAGTTAGCCTCGATTCAAATAAAATCAGGGCAAACAATCGGGTTTCGGGTAGACTCAGCTCAATTACCGGTCCTAGTTATTTCACAATTGCATAAATATAATATTTTCTATACTTCTTTTACCTGCAAGATTCATAATTTGTATCACAAGTCATGTATATATATATATATATATATATATATATATATATATATATATATATATATATATATATATATATATATATATATATATATATAAACAGCTTTATGTGTTAACTTTGCTTTTGTAAGTTTACTTTGTGTTTGTGTATTTTAGTGATAAAGATAACATAATTTGAGCTAGCAACTGACATAGCCAAATCTTGCATATATCTAGATTCACCATATTCATTTTTATGTTTTACATTATTGTCCTTCATAGCTAGACTCTCTACCTAGGTAACATAGCTTGTAATAATTAATACCTTCAGGGTTTGTTTGGTCAATATACTTAGCTTAGGTACTAGCTTCGGTTCACACATTTTTTTTCCCTTTTCAGTTTGGTCTAATAATTTCATAATATTTATATATACATCCAAAATTCATAAATTTATTTCAGTCACACCCAAAGTTCAATGGACATGCAAAATTTGAATTAGAGAATATTCTGCAAATTTATTCTCAAAACTTAGTTGTAGGATTAAATTAATTAATATGAAAAATATATAAAAAAAAAATACTCACTTGAATTATTTTCTGTTTTTTTTTAATATTTATTTATAAAAAAAAATGTACTTTAAATTTTCCATGTTTATAAACATGAATAAAATGTTTCGTTGTATTATAAAATAAAATAAAAATGTTGAGACGAATGGAATGTTAATATGGAAAGGTGATAAGGAATCGGAATCAAAGGACAAGAAATATTGCAATTATTTTTGTCAATTTCATGCAACTATATGATGACTCACAACTAGAGGTGGGTATGGTAATTGGTATACATTATATTATATAATATATATGGTCATACAACTAACTACCTAAGTTTTGTATTGCAAAATTTATTACCATTACCAACCAAAATTTTTGGTATACAATAATTACGGTAGTAATAGTTGCAAAAATAATTGTGTATTTTATTCATATTTTTGAGTGATTTTGTATAGAAGAGCTTCCAAAAAGCCCTATGTTTTGTTGGATTTGAGCAAAACTGAATTATTTGGAACTCAGCCCATTAATCAAAATTCTCTTGAAACGGCCCAACTAATTAGAAGCCCAACATTTAAGCCCACTTGATTCTGGTCAGACTTTTGGAAGCCTCTAAATTCTTATTTACTGTTTGATTCAAACCGTCTAATCTCTCTCTCTCTCTCTCTCTCTCTCTCTCTCTCTCTCTCTCTCTCATCTGATCGTATTTCCGCATAGAATGCTTCTTGGCATTTTCCGACGACACAACCGTTTAACTATGACGATGGTCGTTCCTTTCTTGCTCTCTGCTTTAGAGTCAAATCAACTTTTCTATCTGTGTAGCAAGCCCTTATGTGAGTGACAGAGTGTGGAACAAACACACACAATTTGAATCTTTGTTATTCGATAAGCGGTGAGATTTACTTCTGAATGAGGGAAACACTAGAGAGTTCGAATCTGGTGACGTGTGGATTGGGTGAGAGACCTGGCCAAAAATACAATGACTTTGCTTTGTGTTGTGCTGTTGGCGCCATCGTCGGTAGATTCTGGACGAGAAAACGTGACAAGAAAACTGTGCCGCAACAGAAAGTTTAGCTTCTCCATTCGTTAAAAGAAGTTGTTTATAGTTCAGTCTATTTGGTTTTCATTTCTCCTATAATTGTTCCTTTGTTTTCTTACCTAGTGGAATTTGTAATCCCCTACTCCCTTCCCCATAGGTTTAGTTATGTGTAATAGATTAGCCTTGTTATTTGTCCAGCTTGTAATGGCCGAGTTAGTTAGATCGATTACCCAACAATTTTCTATATATTTTTTTTTCATATGTTTCCTATAATGCAAAATTTTACCAAATATGTATATGCAAGGAATTAAATATGGAATAAATTATATTGACCATACTATATATTATTATTATGTGTGTACTTAGGAATGTTTAATATGATGAACAACTTAAACAAGATTAAAGTAATGTAGTTTAGAATTTGTCCTAATTAATGAAATTCCAAAAGAAAAGGTTTGCCCAACTACATCCCAAGTAAGGCAAGGCATGCAGTTAGTTGGATTTATGTCGGATCAATCATTTTAATATGATTTCTACTTTAGAATGATAAGTTTCTTCATAATTATCCTAAAATAAATAGGACTAATTTTCATTTGCTTATTAAGGTTATAACTTATAACATGTATACGGTTAAACCTCTATAAATTAATGCAATCAGGATTAGCAAAATTCTATAAATTTAGTGAACTATTAAATTACCGAACTTATGATTTAGTATATTTACACCGAGACGTGATCAGAACAAATTATTACTTAAGCGCGGTTATTAATTTATCGAGATTCTACTGTAGGTTATCATTATATGAAAAATGTTATCCACCCATAAGGGGTGTGCGCGGCTTTTAGCATAACTCACACTCGTCCCGTCAAACAACGGGTTTAGAATAGGCTGGTCCAGGTCGGGTTCATGGTAGGATCCAATCTTCACGGGTCAAAACTCGTTATTATTTAATTTTATATTATTACTATATTAAATGTATGCGGTGCTATTTTATTTGCAAAAAATATATATATACAAAGAATAATTCGAGAGTAGACCATCGTTTATTGCTTGTGGGCTGTAACTAAATGAAATTAATATATTAAAATAACTAGTCCGGCCCATTTAATCTGGCCCGACCCAGTTATAGCTTTCCAATTAGTGGCCCAATTCCATTTCACAATTTTTTTATTAACAAAAAAATTCGCAGCCACGTGTATTAATATAACGAATTATCACATGTAAAAACAACTTAATTGAAAAAAATGGATTTACTCAAAAACAAAAAAAATGAAAAAAAGGGATTATTAATTACCCACAAATATTTACCATAAGAACTTGTTTAATTTACTATTACCAGCTGCTAAACTTGCAGTAAAAAAAAAAAAAAAAAAAAAAAAAAAAAAAAAAGAGGTGTTTGCCAACTGTGGTGAAGTTGACCTGTTATGTAGTATAATGCACCACGCGCGGGCTCACGTTCGCATTTATCTCTCTTCTGTCAAGATTCTCCATCACCTCTCGATATTCTCAACTACGTTAATTTTTCCTTATCAAACGTTAATCAAAATAAAATTATGCAGCAAGAAATTAATTGAAGAACAACACTCCGAAAATTTCAGGTGAGTCCTGTTTTTTTTTTTAAGGAAATGAATGCTGATCAAATAATTTTCAACACACTGTTTTTTGAACTGGGCTTAGATTTTGACTTTGTTTATGTATTTATTTTATTTTATTTTTTGTTCTTGATTTTGTTGGCAAATTTGAGGCAAGTTTTCGAGTTATTGGAAATATAAATGTTCTTGATTTTCCTACCATACATAATAAATAGCATAATTTTGAAGTTAAATTTGTAGTTTCTTATCTGAACTAAGCATTTAGAAATTAGAATGAAGATTTAAGCTTGATTTTGGTGTTCTATGGTTTCATAACAGAAAAGATGTTTAGGAAATATGAAATTTTCTGTCAAATTTGAAATTGTTTTAGGTTTTTTTTTTTTTTTTTTTTTTCTGAATTCTCTAGAAATTAGATTAGGATCGGTGTTTTGAAACCTGGAGTTAACCTACCGGTTGAACGGGTTAAACCGCGAACCATTGTCTTGTCTGGTCTGGTTTGAACGGTTGAACCCTGATATCGGAACCCGAAATTGTGAATGTTTAAAAAAAAAATAAACAAATAAAATGGCTAAAACAACGTCTTTTTACAGCCGAGTTGAAAAAAAATGAAATCGGAAGACATGTTATTTAAGATTATAATTTCTACAATACTTGAAATGATTCGGTGTGATATGTTGTGTGTGTAAAAGAAAAATAGGTTTGATAACACGAAATAATTCAATTTTCTCGTATGCAGCAATAATGGAGGCAAATAATAACTTTTCGAGAGAGACGGAACTCGAAATGAAGATAACAGAGCACATACGAAACGAAAAAGATCTCCGACTAAAAATTGGATTAATCGAAAAACTCGCCCTCTGCATGGAAGAGGAGGCAGAGGTTGCTTCCGGAAGGTTCTTAGAATCCGACAACACATCCGAAATACTCATGTCAATCTCCAAAGAAATGGCGGGAAAACTCCAAATCGCTCATGTAAATCTCGTCGCTTCGAATAACAGAGAAGAACAAGCAAACTCCAAACTTCGAGATTTCGAAAATCGGTTAAACGAAAAAGAAGCCCTAATATCGAAACTCTTAAACGATAACGCTGAGGTAACGGATTTACGAGAGAATGTTCGAATGCTAGAAGAGAAGGCCGCGAATTTGACCGAATTAAATATTGAATTGACCGAAGAGCTCGATTTTGTCAAGGGGAATAACGACAGTAATACGAAGAAGGCGAGTTTGCTCGAGAAACAGTTGAGGGAGTTTGATGTACAGCTCCAACATTCGAGGGCTTTGTCCGAAGCAAGCCAAGAGCAGCAGAATATGCTTTATTCTGCGATATGGGATATGGAAACCCTAATCGATGAACTGAAGCAGAAAGTTGGTAAGGCTGAAAACGTGGCGGAAAATGCCGAGGAAAAATGTGTTGTTTTGTCGGAAAAGAATTCGGAAATGAGTTCTAGAATGGAATCCATGGAGGAATCTTTGGAGAAAGCTAGTCTCGAAAAGAAATCGTGTGTTAATGAAATTAGTATTAGGACAAGTGTGATTATGGAAATGGTTACGGAATTAGCAATCGAGAGGGAGCGTATAGAGAAACAGGTGCTTTATATATTTTTTTCAGCCGATGATATTATTTTTTGCAACAATTAATTGACTTGATTCGATGCAGTTAATATCTTTGACGAAGGAAAACAAATTATTGAGAGGGAAATTAGCGAACAAAAAAAATAATGCATCTGTAGTTTTGACGGACAATAGAATCAATGTGAAAGAAGTGTTTCTTGATTCGGAATCTGCAAAATCGGGAATCTCGTCGGAAAGTTTAACGGTAATTTTAAATCAAATGTTGTCTCGTTTTCTTTCTTCGATAACTAAAGCTACAAGAATTGAATTCTTGAAATTGTTTCTCGATTACAGGTTCCGGCCCTCGATAGATTTTTTTTCTTCTTAAATGAATACGACACTAGATTCTTGTTCAATTTGCTTTAGCATATTTGTGATTTATATGATATTGTGATTATGGAAATTAGGTGCAGAAATTAACGGAGGATGATTCGATAGACGAGATTAACGAAGCGGGATTTCCTTCTTCGGTAAATCACATCGTGGAGGCTGAGAAGTTCGGAGAAAAACGGAATTATCGAAGAATATATATAATCATGGCTATTCTTGTTGTGGTGATATCATGTTTAGCTGCACATTTGTTTCAGAAAGAAAAAAAAAATTAGACATCCTTAAAGCTATTCAAAAACTTTTTCATAGCACAAGCTTTTCTATTATTATTATTATTTTTATTATTATTATTTTATTTTGTGAATATAATTTTTGTAAATTGTTCATAGGATTCATCACATTTGAACATTCGGTTTATTGGTTGTAATGTAAATTCAAAATTTTAAATAAATTGTTTAATTTTTTATTACTCAGGTGTAGTTAGTTGGATCATGACAAAAAATATGGGCTCGTTCGGTTATCTATATTGGATTAGATTGGATTACATGAGATTGGATTAACTCCCTAAACTCCCTACTGACTAATTAATTTTTTAGTTAGTAGCATGTTCGGTTTATTAGATTCGACTTTCTATTAAATTTGTTAAAATCAGTTATTATATATGAATTGTCTATAAAACCACTTAGTTTACAATAATAAAATATAATTTTAAGGATAAAATTGTATTTTTCCTTTTTAGTCACCCCTATTAAATTAATCTCAGGGGGGTGCTACTAATTTAATGAAATAATAGCATTTAATAGCGGGCTTTGAATTTAGTAGCGGATTTGAAAAAATGTGAATCTTACCAACCGGACATGTTATTAGCCCCTACTATTTAGTCAGTAGAACCTTATAGCAGTAAACGAACGAGCCCTAATTATAAAAATAGGTGGTAAAGTGCAATTAAATAAGAAATCAGTCTTTGAACAAAAAACGTGTTGTTAGCAGCACGACTTCTGTGAACGAAGATACGGCGTCGTTTTGTGGCATTTATTTAACTATTTATTAATTAAAAAACCCCCCAATCTCAATCCCGTCTCTATAAAAAAGCACCTCCTCTGTATCAATCAACAAACCCTAGCCGCTCTCTCACTACACTCTCTCTCTCTAACTGCACTCTCTCCCCTCTCTCTCTCTCTCTCTCTCTAACTGCACTCTCTCTCTCACACACACACACACACACACACACTGCAGTTTGAAAGTGATTATTTTGATTTATGTTTATATGCACCAAATAGCCCTTCGCAGCTAAAAGCAAGAAGCTGCGAAGAAAAATTCGAGAAGGTTCTTCGGTGCTAAAAAGATCAATTTTTTGGTGGAACAATTTTTATTGGAATTTATTTACAGTTAATTCAAATTCGATTTTGTTTTGCCAAAACATTAATGTTTATTTATTTTAATTTTAATTATTTGATGGTGAAGCAAAATGATGAAAAAGCTCGATCTGAATTCCAAATGTGGATTTAATTTATCGAGTTATGGTCTTCAAAGTTCTCTGATTGCTTTTCCTTCTTTCTTATCTTTATTTTATTAATTTTATTATTTTATATATTTGGGTTTAATGTTATATTATGTTCTTCTGCAAATCTCGATTTATATATTTTTATGATATTAATTATTCTTAATATTTTATATCTCATTAGATTAGGGTATTAATTATTATGATGAGTTAATGATAATATTTCCTGAATTGTATTCGAGATTGTTGGCAGAGGCGACTGTTCATTTTGATTTTGTATACATTCTTTTAGAAAGATTAGATTTTCAATTTAAAAAAATGCTAAAATTGGAATTAAAATATGTCATATGCATACATCGATTACATCTCTAAAACTAGTAATATATCACTTTTTGTATTAAAATATAAATAATATAATTACTGAATTACATAGAATACTTTTAATTGTATAAAAAATTAATATTAACATTTTATTTTCAATATTAATATAGTAATATTGGGTCAACAATTGTGGAATTGGGCATGGCCCATGTGTTTTAGCTTACACCTATGTAATTTTAAGTCAAAATGTCACTTTCAATAATTAATTTTCTACTATAATTAAAAGGGTGTTACTATTTGCAGCGGGACTTTTACTGAAATTGGCTTATTTGCAGCGAAACCTTTTTCATTTAATTTTTTGTTTTTTTGAAATTCTGTCTCCTACTCCCAAACTCTCTCAAGACATTCGAATTTCAGAAATTTTTTCGACTTTGAATCCGTAGCAAACAAGGCTCGATTCCGATTCAAACGCATGTTTTCGATTTTTTTTTTTTTTTTTTTGAACTTCCCATTCTCTAGGGCACGAAAACTTGAAGATTCTTCAAGCAATCGTGCTCTGGAGCACGGTTGCTTGAATAATCTTCAAGTTTCCGTGCCCTAGAGAACGGGAAGTTCAAATTTTTTAATTGGTTTTTTGAATTTTTTTGAAATTTTGTCTGCTACAAAACGAGATTCAAATTTTTTTGAAGCTCCCGTTCTGTAGAGAACGAAAACTTGAAGATCTTCAAGTTTTCGTTCTCTGCAGAACGGGAGCTTCAAAAACAATTTTTTTTTTTTTCTTTTTTTTTGGTTTTCGTCCTCTACAGAACGGGGAGTTCATATTTTTTTTGAAACTCCCGTGTTGCAGAGAACGAGAGGTTCAAAAGATTTCTATTTTTATTTTTTTACTTTTTTTTCCTTTAATATCAAATTTTTAGATTATTTAAGGAACATTATCATGGATAAAATCTTCATCCGATTCCCTATTATTACCGTATCAAATTATAAAATTAATAATATATTTATAATACTAAAAAATACAGTAAAACAAAAAAGAGAAAAAAAAAAAAAAAAAAAAAGAAAACTAGTATCAGTTTCCTGTGCTGCACAACACGGGTAACTTAAATTTTTACTTTTTTTTGTATACACCTCGTGCTGTACCGCACGATTAACCCTTAATTTTTTTATTTTTTTCTTTTTTTTTTTTATCTCATAAAAGTTAACAGGATCGGTCAACGAAGAAGTTGTTGTTCGTTTTCGAATTTGTCAAACGAGCTTCAAATTCTAAGTTTTCGACTTTTTTTAGTTGAGAGAGTTTCGATTTTTTTAGAAAGTTAGAAAATTGACAAATGAGACTACCGCTGCAAATAAGCCAATTTCAGTAAAAGTCCCGCTACAATTTGCATTTCAGTAATTAAAATTATAAAGTTACATTTCATTGGTGGTGAAATATGATTAATGCTATATATGGAAAAGTTCTCCTAAATTCTACAAGGGATAAGATATGTATGTTACTATAATCTACACATGGTAATTATTGGTACACGTTTATTTTGAATTTTATACCCAATAAGTCTATTGAAATAACTAGAACAAACAATTAATATTTTAGCCTACTAAATAGACCTGCAATAATATTTAGGATTTAGGGTTTCATTCATATGAGACTCAAAAACTCACTCAATATTAAATTGACTTACTAATATATGCACAATTTACTAATCAATAAGGAACCATCTCGTTTACTCATCAAATCGAATGTACTTATAGAAGATAAAGATTGAAGACATGATTGATTTGAATTTGAAAACGACTATAGGATTGTGTGTTCCATAGTCAATGTGTCCCATTGTATAACGAAGATGGTAATATTCACCGTAAAAAGACAATGAGTGACCGGGATAATGCTGTAAGAAGAGGATAGAGATGACTGATGAAATGAGAGAATATTTTGAGTAATTGGATGAACGGTAAAGATTAGGCGAGAAAATTATGTAGTCAATATCATTCGAGCTGAGCTTTTTTGGGTTTAGGCGAAATCGAATATTGGACTACGTTTTCGATTAAGGTGAGATTGGGCCCAAATGTACGGGCTTGCAATATCCTTAAATTCGTAATTTGGGATTTAAAACAACTACTGAATTACCAATATTCTTACTTCAATTATAAGTTACCTTTCAAGATAAAACATTATTTTTAGAAATAAGTTACATTTCATGGGCGGTTATTGAGATTTGAGCATAGGATATGAATTACTCCCAATATAAAGATTAATCTAAATACAATTTGGCAACGAAATCTTTAAAAAATGCAATAAGAATCCCTAATCAAATTCAATCATTTATATGTTCATCCACCATCTATTATATATATACTTATTCCAAGACACAATCATTCTTCAATAATAATTTATTATTATTTTTAATTTAATTTAATTATTTCTGAACAAAATGAAGTTCGCCACTGCAGTATTGCTTCTTGTAGCTGCCCTTTTACTCATCGTAACTGGTCAAATCTCTTTACATTATCTTTTCCTCTATATATATATATATATATATATATATATATATATATCATTTAATTGTAATTGTTGAAGGATTAATGAAAAATTAAATGAATCACAGGGTCTAATGCCACGGCGGCGGCAGCAGCGGCGCGTCACCCTCCGAAGTGCAGAACCAATCAAAATTGCAGAGTTTATTGTTCAACCGTCGGCACAACTCCGCTATGTTTGAGTGGGGTATGCACGTGTTATTTAAAGAAGAATGGTGTCCACGTGGAAGCACAAAGGTCCACGTCAGAGTACAATGCTGACCAAAAGTCTTCTTCTACTGCTTGAATTTAATTAATTATCTAGAAAAATGTCAAATAAATAAAATTTGGTATATTTATGTTTTTACATTGGCGTTTTAACTGTTACGTTTTAAATTGATAAGAGAAAATTTATATTACCAATTGCGCGAATTTTAACCAATCAAAAGTGCCGTAACAAAATTAACAATTATAGTAATAAAATAGCGATTGCAATAAACCTATTATAAAATTGTGATACGGAGGGATTCTTGTAATCTGAAACGTGCTAAAATATTTATTTTGTTGAAATAAAAAAGGAAAAGAAAATCAAAAGGAAAAAGAAAAATATCAAAAATCAATACATAAATGAAAATAAATACTGAAATTTGGACAAACCTAATTCCAAAACACCTAACAAAATATTTTCCTGTCTGAAATTCAAGAAGAATAAAAAAGAAATGAAGAGAGTTCAATTTCATTTTGTCCTCCTAGTGTTTTTCATTGCTTCAATGTCTGGTAATCCCTCTAATTATAATTATATATATATATATAAATATAAACACATATATTTGTTTATTCACAGTTATAAAGACTTATTCTTCCTTCACAGTATTTATATAAATATATCATTTTCTTTTTTAAAACAATTGTAGATTTTTTTTTATTTTTTTTATTTTTTCTAAATAAAAAATAATTGTAGGTTC